GGGGGGCGGAGGAGGGGGCAGGACTAGGCGAGATAGGTCAGACACGCCCTGGAGCCAACCTCCTGTGGTCTGAGTGAGCAGGGTCCCCCAGCAGGTGGGGTCCCTCAGCCTGAACTGTGGGGATTGGGTTGAAACCTGCTCTCAGACATCCTCCAAGGGTCCCCGGAGTGCGAGAGGGCATTCTGCAAAGTTGCTGTCCTACAGGGTGTGGAACACAAACACAAGTGTGCAGTAAACCAGATTTGGGGCGACAGTGCTCTAGTGACAACATAACCCACGGCCCAAGGTGGAATCGCATGGCCCCATGAGGAATTGGGCTCCCTCCTCTCTGGTTTCGGGGTGTGTCACCCGAGAACTGCCACTGCCAAGTCACTGCAGCTCAGCAGCTCCTGTGTTGAGCATCTGTCCTTTGGTGGTCAGTGCATGTCATAGCATCTAGTGGATGGTCAGACACTTAGCATGTTAGCTTTTTATATATATTGATAGGACCTCTAGGTTCATTAAATCTAATCTTTTAACAACAAGGAAGTTAATGTATCTGTGTTCCTCTTTGAGGACTCCTATATTTGTACTTTATCAATAATTGTGGTGGCAGAGAATAGATCCAGTAGTTGGAGACCAGTTAGGATACTGTTCTATTCTAGGTGGGAGATGATTGTCTGCATCAAAATAATGTCAGTGAAATGGAAAGTGAACCTGAGTGAGGATTATTTTGGCTTTGGAGCAGGAGGAAGTAGATCTGGAGAAATTGTAAGAAGGTCCTCCAGGTTTCTGGCTTGAGTGCTAGGTGTGTGATAATAATGCTGTCCAATAAAATAGAAAACACTGAAAAAGGAGAAAGTGGTGTGAAAAAAGGGGTGGGGGACTTTTCCTTATTTATCATCTCAAGTACCCTGAAAGAATGTGTTCCCCAGGAGTTTCTCACTTTGGGATGGTCATCAAATTTGTTCTGGGTGAAGACTTTTTTATTTCTATACTAGAGGCCCAGTACACAAAATTTATGCATTGGGGGGGGAGGGGGTGCCCTCAGCCTGGCCTGCATCCTCTCCAATCTGGGAACCACAGAGATCAGGCCTAAACAGGAAGTCGAACATCCCTCTCCCAATCTGGGATCGCCTGCCTACTTGCCTGAGTGCCCCTAACCACTTCTGCCTGCCAGCCCAATCGCCCCCTAACGCTACTCTGCCAGCCCAAATAATGCCTAACTGCCCTCCCTGCAGGCCCAATCACTCACAACTGTCCTTCCCTGCCACAACCCACCTCCTCTGCCAGAACCTGCCTCCTCCATGTGAGTCAGCAGAGACACCGGGACCAACCTCCTCGGCACTGCACAGAGCCAGGGGACCCCCATTTCTTACCACACAGAACAGCCGCTGGGCTCCACCTCTGCTGTGCGTGCAACCATCTTGTGGTGGCCATCTTGTGATGACATCACGCACAAGGGCACGAGGACCACCTAGGCTTTTATTAGTATAAATCAGCAGTTTTTATTATTGTTGAATCTTTTATGACTGTGCAAGTATGTCTTGGACCACCCATAGACAGTAAGCCCAACTTCTTAAGGGCAAAAGACTGCACATTATGTGTGTCCTACATGTATTTATAAACGTAATAATTATTGAGCATCTCTTCTGCCAAGCACGATGTTAAGAGTGGGGATTGAGCAGTGAGCGAGACCATATCTAAGGTCCCCATAGATAAGGTCTCTACTCTCATAGAGCTTATTTTTACTAGGGGGAAATAGATTATAGAAAAGTATACAAATTAATGAATGAGCAAGGTTATTTCACATAACAAAAATTGCTAAATAGCAAAACAAAGTGACAGGAGTAAGAGTAAATGGGAGAGAGGTAACTCTAACTAGAGTGATCAGAAAATGTCTTGACTGTCCAGGTTTTGACAGCCACAGGGAAGTTGACAAGCAGAGTACTATAGAAGGAACAGCAGGGGCCAAAGCCCTGAGGCAGGATCAAGATAGGTCTGTCCCAGGATCCTAAGTCTGTGTGGCAGTGTGTACCAGATGCGAATGGGGGTCCAGATAGGTCGTGTAAGGTCCAGTGGGACTCAGTGAGGAGTTAGGATTCTGTTCTAAGCCATGGGAACAGAAGGATAAGGGGTTAAGCACGGCAGTAAAATGATCTGATTTACTACGTTCTAAGATACCCATTTTGTCTGCTTTTAAGGATTATGGAAGTGAATGAGGCTGTAGTAGAAGCAGGGAAACTATTTAGGCTATTATGGTTTAGATCAGAGAATATGGTGAGGACTAAGATGGTGTCCTTGAAGATGAAGAGAAACCTTGAAACTCATACAAAGACCAGGTCACAGTAACTCACTGTCTCTTCACTCTAAGGTCAGCATGTCTGCCTGAGCTTGGCTGGACCTCAGAGATAAAAAATAGCTTGAACCCTGGAGTCACAGAGACCAGAGGATGGAATCCTGCCCATCATTTCTTAGCTGTGTAATCTTGGACAATGCACCTAACCTGCCTGCACTGTTTCATTAGTTTTCATCTATAAAATTGAGGGTTAAAAATAGTTCCTACCTGATAAGGTTATTAATGAAAATAAAGAGAGCTAATCTATATTAAAGATATAGCACAGTACCTGCACACGAAAAGCACTAAAAAATGGTGAGCTATAATCAGCATCCTTATTATTCTTATCTATAAGCTGGAGATAACAAAAGCTACTTTGGAAGCCTAAGAGGATTAAAAGAGATGAAGTATGCAAAGTACTTAGCACAGTGTCTTCAGTGTGGTGAATACTAATTGATTAGCTATTACTATGAAATTTATCAGCAGACCTAAGCATTTAACTTTATAGCAACCTAGGAGTGATGGAGGGATAAATTGTTTTGCTCACATTTATGAAATAAGAGATTAAATTCCATTTTATTTTGTTTTAATAATAGATCACATTTTCTTTTCCCATTCATCTTAGGTTATTTCCATATCTTGCAGTTGTGAATAATGCTGCAGGGAATATTGGAGTGCAGATTGTTCTTTGAGATGCCAAAAATACGGTAGTTTTATTTTTTAACTTTTTGAGGAATCTCCATACCATTTTCCATAATGGTTATAACAATTCACATCCCACCATCAGTGTACAACCACACCCTTGTCAATATTTCTTAGCTCTTGTCATTTTGGTACTTGCCATCCTAACAGGTATGAGGTGATATCTTCGTATGGCTTTGATTTGCATTTCCTTGTTGATTAGTGCCACTGAGTGCCTTTTCACACACCTGTTGGTCATCTGCATGTCTTCTTTGAGAAAATGTCTCTTCAGGCCTTCTGTTCATTACATATATATATATATATATATATATATATATATATATATATACACACACACACACACACATACATACACAATGTCCCCTCGGGTGTTTGACCAGGAGACTGGGTATTTTTTTTTAAATATATTTTATTGATTTTGTACAGAGAGGAAGGGAGAGAGATAGAGAGTTAGAAACATTGATGAGAGAGAGTCATCCATCAGCTGCCTCCTGCACACCCCCTACTGGGGATATGCCCACAACCAAGGTACATGCCCTTGACCGAAATCGAACCCGGGACCTTTCAGTCCCCAAGCCGATGCTCTATCCATTGAGCCAAATCGGTTTCGGCCCTTCTGTTCATTTTTAATCCAGTTATTTGTTTTTCCACTATTGAGCTGTAAGAGTTCCTTACATATCTTGGTTATTAACCCTTATCATACATATAGTTTGCATATACTTTCTCTCATTCTGAAGGTTGCTTTTTCATTCTGTTGATGGTTTCTTTTGCCATGCAGAAGCTCCTTAGTTTGATAGAGTCCAGATGGTTTATTTTTGTTTTTGTTGCCTGTTTTGGTGTCAAATCCAAAAAATCATTACTAAGACCAATGTAAAAAAGCTTACCCCTTAGTTTCCTTCTAAGGATTTTATGAATTCAGGTCTTACATTTAAGTCTCTAATCAATTTTGAGTTGATTTTTGTGTATGGTGTATAAGGTAAGGGCCTAATTCCATTCTTTTGAATGTGGTTATCCAGTTTTCCCACCATTTATTGAAAATACTATCCTTTCCCCATTGTGTAGTCTCAGCATGCTTGTCATTCATTGGCTGTACATGCATGGGCTTTTTTTTTTTTTTCTGGGCTCTTTATTCTGTTCAAATGTTTTAGGCTAGCACCATCCAATTTTGATTACTATATAGCTATGTAATATAGTTTAAAATCAGAACATGTGATGATTCCAATTTTGCTCTTAACTTCTCTTCTCAACCCACTATAATCTGACCTCTGCTCCCAGCATTTAACTGAAATTGCATGCCAAAAGATTATAAATGACTTTCTCATTGCAAATCCAAAGAGTACTTTAAAATTATTTCTATCAACATTGCATGCTATATAATAAAAGCCTAATATGCAAATCAACTGAATAGTGGAACAACTGGTGGAATAACCAGTTGCTATGACACGCACTGACCATCAGGGGCAGACACTCAATGCAGGATCTTCCCCCAGCCGCAAACTCCAGGCCAGCCGAGGCAGGTGCCAGAGGGGGGCCCCCTAAGTTGCCCTGCAGAGGGAGGCAACCAGCAGTGGTGGCAGGGGATGGGGCCAGCAAGCAGGCAATGCCAGGCTGATGAAGGTGGGTGCCAGCAGGGCTCACCAATTGCCCCACTGGTTGCCCCACATATTGGCCCTGACTGTTGGCCAGGGCTAGGGACTCTACCCATGCATGAATTTTGTGCACCGGGCCTCTAGTTTTGTTATAAAAGTCAAAGTTCTCCAAAGCATATAAAATAAAAAAGCAGTTCCCAACAATGTCTCCCTATTTCCAATTGTTAGTTCAGAGCAGCAATTACTTTCAACTCTTTTTTTTCTTTCTTTCAATTTTTTTAGAAGCTTCTTCTGAGTACATAACAGGATTATGCCTATTGTTTCTTCATTTTTTGTGTGTGTGTGTTCTTATTGTGTTGGATCTTCTATTTTCTCTATTCAGAGAAACTCACCTGTATGAACATCAATGAGTTTATGAATGGTCCCTTTGGCTTTCAATTGAGTTGTTCTCTAGTTGGGAAAACCTCCCCAAACCTTCTGTCACCTTGCTCCCATTTGGACTGGACACTCTCTAATTGTCCTGTGACTTCCCATTTCCTGGTTTAATCCTTTAGTTTAATGGAATACATCTTACAGTTACTTCCTGATATGACATATGAAATGTAAGTATTTTGAGACTTCAATATCTGAGGTTATATTAATACTTCACCTCACACCAGATTGCTAGCTATAGAATTCTAGATAGAATAGTTCTCAGAATTTTAGAGCTGTTTCTCCATTGTCTTCTGGTTTCCAGTGTTGCTGTTGAGATGTCTGAAGCCACTGTGAAATGGGATTCTTTTTATTGAATGTCCCTTGAGAACCACTGACTTTGCTGCTGGAACAAATGACCTTCTCTTTGGGAACTTTCCTTTGGACATTTCTTTGACAATTTTCTCCCTTATATTTTCAAAACTATTATAGCTTCTTTAACTCTCTTGTACCTCCTGATCTGAATCTTTAATTTTGTCATTTATCTTCTATTTTATATTTGTTATATTATCTACCATCTACTTTTAAAGAATTTTTTTTTTAATGTTATCTACTGATTCTTTTGGAACATTTTTTTACTTAGTCATATTTTTAATTTTCAAGTAATATTTTTTTTGTCTTCTGGATGTTCTTTCTTTTGCAAATTCCTATTATTCCATAGATGTAGTATCTTTTCTTATTTTGCAGATATATATGCTATGCATTTTCAAACATTTATTTTGCTCCTTATATCCTCAGAGATCCCTCCATTAAAGAAATGCTAGCTATTTTGGTTCTGTCTTTCCATCTTGAAGGCTTTCTTCAACTTACTAGTGATTTGGGGCTCTTGGCTGATACTTTGTATTTAAGGGTGAGAAAACAAAAGCGTCCGGAAATGGTGAGGGACAGAGCTATAGTTAACCGAAGACTTCATTGTAGGTGGTCTAGCTGAGCTCTTTTAGTAATTGCTCAGAGAGAAATCCCCCAATAGTATGGTTACCAGTGTTTTTGGGCACAGCAGAAGCGTGGCCAGGGATCCTTGAGTCAGAATGTGGCACAACCTCAATCTCCTTGTTTTCGGTGTACCTCCCCTGCCTCAGGCGTTTCTCCTGCCTCCAAATCTAGTGTCTCCACTAGTAAGCTTCTAGACTTCTGCTGGGACAAGGAAGTGGCAATCTCCCAGCTGCTTCAGATGTACAAAGAAATTTGTTTGGCTTTATAATAGCTCCCTTAAAATTTTTCACCTAGGTCTTTTTTTTTTTTTTTTTTTTTTTTTTTATATAGCTCAATTATATTTCTACCTTCAGAAGTACTTGCTGTGTTCAATTCCTGTACTTTTTGGGGGCTGTTGTTCAAATTTACCCTCTTCTAGGTGGTTCCATTCTAGCTGATTTAATAAGTTTCTCTGAAAAGGTGTTCAGAAAGTCGGAATGGACTCCTTATTTTTCTTCCAAAACAAATAGGAACATTCAAAATCCTTCTGACCTTTCTGCTGGGCTCAAAGACAGAGTCTTTCCCCCCCCAAAAAAAATATATTTTATTAATTTTTTACAGAGAGGAATGGAGAAGGAGAGGAATAGAGAGTTAGAAACATCAATGAGAGAGAAACAATCAGCTGCCTCCTACACACTCCCCACTGGGGATATGCCCGAAACCAAGGTACATGCCCCTGACCGGAATCGAACCTGGGACCCTTCAGTTCACAGGCCGATTCTCTATCCACTGAGCCAAAAAGGTTAGGGCGATAGAATCATTTTTTAAAAATAGATGTATGATTCGGAGGCCTCACTAAAAATCTGAGTTTAAAGTTCAAACCGAAGGCATTTCATAGCCCTATTATTTATATTTAGCTTGATCAATCAGTCTCAAATATGATGGGAAGCCTGGAAGGGGAAAAAGGTACAAAATATTACTCTGAAAAAGTCATATAGGTGTGTGTTCATGCGCACACTTTTTATGTTGGTTGTGGGCAGTCACAGTCTTGTTGCCTGTGGGTATGTTTATGGACAGATAAATATGAGCCCCTGGAGTAGGAAATTGAGCAGCTTTAAAACATGTCCCCAATGCATTGGGGAGAGATGAAGGCTCTACACCCCCTTCTTCTGAATCTGAGACGGCTGTTGTGGCTTGCTGGCAGCTAGTAGAATAAAGTGCAAGTGATGCAGCACGACTTCTTAGGATAAGTCTGAAAAGGCCATGAGTCTGGTCCTTTCAGACACTCACTCTGAGGGAAGCCAGATGCCATGTGCAAAGTCTGCCATGCTGGAGGGACTGGGGAGGCTCTGGGTCAGTTTCAGCTGAGCTTCCAGACAGCCACCAGCCAGCATCAACCTTCAATCACAGAGGGTGCCATCTGGGATGTCCAGCCTAAATAAGCCTTCAAATGACAGCAGCAGCAGTTGACATCTGATAAGAGACTCAAACAATAAACTGGCCAAGCAAGCCCTTCCCAATTTCTGAGCCACAAAATCAATAGCAAAATGAACTGGCTATCCAAGTCTGGCTTAGCGCATTCACTCAAAGAGCAGCAACAGTTAGCTAGTTTATCAGCCAGTTTAGAACAGAGGGTGAAGCAACAGGAAAGAGATGTGGTAGATGAATGTGCCTAGATAGGGTACAAGCAGAGTGGAAGGACCATAGTACCTACATTTTGTTTTATGCAATGTCCAGATGTCCTAACCTTCTCTGCTGGGCCAGCCTTCTCTGCAGAAGGACCAGAGTGAAGAGTGTGTGAGGGGCGTTTAGCAGATTAAAGGAGCCAGGAACCAACCTGCATCTCTTCTGTCAGAGAGATGTGAGGACACATATGTCTGGTCATAACTGTGTCTGGTCATTAGCTGGCTGAGTAGCTAGGGGTTTATCTAGTACAGAGACTGCGTGAGGCCATAATGAGGTTATAATGGGTGTCACTAGTAGGTGGCCGATTTAGGGATGACATTGTTGTCAGTCTGGAAGTAGTACAATTCATGCCTTATTAGTATTACATGTGTATGCGTACTTTTTATGTTGGTTGTGGGCAGTCACAGTCTTGTTGCCTATGGGTATGTTATGGACAGATAAATATGAGCCCATGGAGTAGGAAATTGAGCAGCTTTAAAACATGTCCCCAATTCATTGGGGAGAGATGAAGGTCTACCTCTTTCTATCTAAAAATAGCATTTTCATTTTTTCCATCCTTTTATATTATGTGTAACATGTCTCATAAGCAAATTGTGTGTACATTTCATTTTCTCCTATCTTCTATAGCAGAATGAAATATCCATAAATCATACAGCAAACACATTACAGCAGACACATTATAGCAAGTCCCAATGAGCAAGCACTTATCAGATTAGGTTGGTGATGACCCACTAATTAATTGGCTAATAGCAAGTCATATGGCGAAGCCCACAGTCAATGTGGGACAGGTCTGCACAAGGGAGTGGATACCATAAGGCATGATTCATTGGGACCACTACTATAATAGCCTACTAACACCCAGCTAGGCCGTGGTTTTCAGCAATCTGTTGGGAATGGGTTCTTTTTATTTTTTTCTTTTATTTTTTTAAAGATATATTTTATTGATTTTTTTTTTTACAGAGAGGAAATGAGAGGGATAGAGAGTGTATAAACATGGATGAGAGAGAAACATTGATCAGCTGCCTCCTGCACACCCCCCCACTGGGGATGTGCCTGCAAACAAGGTACACACCCTTGACCGGAATCGAACCTGGGACCCTTCAGTCCACAGGCCAACGCTCTATCCACTGAGCCAAACCAGTTACAGCGGGAATGGGTTCTTCGTGAATAGTTTTTCTAAATCTCACTTCCCAGGACCCCACCCCAAGCCCAGTAAGTCAGAATTTCTTGGGGGTAAGTGATATAGAGGAAGGTGGTGGTAATACCAAGAATTCAAGACTGAAATAACTCTGCAGAGATTCCAACACACAGTGGGAAATACAGGGTTTCAAATACAAGAAAGACAGGCTGTGCACTCAAAAAACTTAGTTTCCACAGAGTACATTTTAAAAAACAAAACAAAACACAACACCAAAAAAAATTTCCATTGATATCAGAGAAGGAGAGGGAGAGATAGAAAAATCAATGTTAAGAGAGAATCAATGATCATTGATTGGCTGCCTCCTGCATGGCCCCCCATCAGGGATGGAGCCCAAAACCTGGGTATGTGCAATAACTGGGAATGGAATCATGACCTCTTGGTTCAGAGGTCAACATTCAACCATTGAGCCACACCGGCCAGGCCAGAATACATTAATTGTCATTATTATACCAGAGACCTTGAGAATTAAAAGAAAAATTGCTTTCCATGTTTCTTAAAGTTAGAGCAGTGGGTCTCAAACTTATGTGTGCATCAGTATTAAGTAGAGGGCCTGAGCCCAACTCCCAGTTTCTGCTTCAGGAGGTCTGGGTGGAGCACGTGAATTTGCAGGTCAAACAAGCTCTGCTGTCCAGGGACCATACTTTGAGAACCACTAGGCAGGGAGAATTAGTGACTATATTGCACTTACATGTTTACAGCACATCTATTACAACCCAGGGCTTGGTCTGGCTGCAGCAGCAGCAGCAGGATATAATAAGGATAGGATTTAGATCTTGATTATACTTGAGCAGATTTAGTCTCTAAGTGGATCTAATTCCCTTAATAAGAGAAGCCTAGGTGACATTAAGACAGGCTGTGATAAAGAGAGAAAGGAAAGCGTGGAGGAGGCGAGTCTGAGTTGGGTCTTGAAAGATGCCTTAGAACCCGGACATTTGGAAATGGTGGGGAATCGCGGAATTCTTCGTTTGGGTAGAGAGAAATCACACAAACCTTGAGAAAACCCCGGGGAAAGGTCTGTGACACTCGCCCTCAGCTCTCCAGCATCAGCCACCTGCAAGCTGCTGGCCTCAGAAGGAGGAAGGGAGTTCTCAGTGTCAAGAAGTCAGTCTCAAACCCTCCTCGGGAAGGGGTGGAGCTGGCCTGGCCCCCTCTTTGGAGCTCCCTGAGCTGGTGGGTGCCTTAGAGACCGAAGGGTCTGTTCGAGGCCACGGTGGGCGCCGAGTGGGCAAAGAGCACAGCTTGGGCGCTTCCATCTCCAAACCCCTCAGTGGGGCGCCGTGACCCCGCGAGGCTCGGAGCGGTAGCGCGGCTGTCGGGGCGGCCTGGCGGGTACCCTCCTGGCCTCTCCACGTCCGGAGAGGGGGGCGCAGGCTGTGGCACCGTTCGGAAGGAGCCTCGGGTTTAGGCTCGGCGCTAAGGCGGGCCCGGTGACAGCTGCACTACCCGGCCAGCCGGGCGAGGGGTTCAAAGCTCCTCCTCTTCGCTATTTCCATCCCCGGACTTGACGGTGACGGACGCCAGCACAACGCGGGGCGCGCCCTCTGTGCCTCCATTTCCACGCGCCGGAGGGAGGGGGTGCGCACGCCGGTGCACGCGCCCTACACCCGAGCGCGCGCGGCCCGCGAGGCAGAGGACTACGCATGCGCCTCCCCGTCCTTTCTGCCCCGCCCACTGTCGAGGCCCCGCCCCTACCGTGACCCCCGCCCCTGCAGAGGCTCCGCCCCCCGCCGTGGCCCCGCCCCCGCCGTGGCCCCGCCCTGTTACCCCTTAAACCACCGCTAGAGGTACTGGCGGCGGCGGCTGCGGCCTGACAGCGCGGCCGCTCCGAGGGCGCGGAGAGCGATCGGGGTGGGAGCGAGCGCTCGGAAAGCCGGCGGGAGCGGAGGGCGGCGCTGGAGGAGGGCGGCGCGCGGCTGACTCATCCCCCTGGACTGGCAGAGCGACTGACACAAACGCCGCCGCCGAGCCCGCCTGCCGGCCCGCGCCGCCCCAGCTCCGCGCGGGAGGCGCCCGCCCGCCCCGCCCGCCCGCCGGCCCCCCTCCCAGCCCGATCGCCTCGCACAAAGTTTGTCTCCTCAGAGGGGCCGGAGCCGCCGCGGGCCCTTTGGAAGGGGCGGGGACGGCAGAGGACGCGGGGAGCCGTGCGGGCCCGGGGAGTGCATGGTGCCCGGCGCCTCGGCTGCCCATCTGGAGGACATCGGGGCGGGGTCGGCGGAGCGCAGCTCTTTCTAGCCTCGGCCTCGCCCGCGATCGCCGCCCTCCCGGACTGCCGCCGCGGGGGTCCCCGCGCCCCAGCCCGCCATGTCCCGGCTGCTGCCGCTGCTGCGGAGCCGGACGGCGCGCAGCCTGAGGCCGGGCCCGGCCGCCGCCGCCGCCGCGCCCCGCCTGCCGTCCTGGTGCGGCTGCGGGCGTGGGCTGCTGGCGATCGCCTTCCCCGGAGGCTCCCCCGGCGGCCGCCGGGCGCTGGGCACCCACCCCAAGGAGCCCATGGAGGCGCTCAACACGGCGCAGGGCGCGCGCGACTTCATCTACAGCCTGCACTCCACCGAGAGGAGCTGCCTGCTCAAGGAGCTGCACCGCTTCGAGTCCATTGCCATCGCCCAAGGTACAGGGGATGGAGCGGGGGGTGACCCTGGGGGCCGGCGCCCTCCCCCGAGAGCCCCGCCTGCCCCGAGAGCCCCGCCCCCTCCGCCTGGGACCCCAGCCATCGCCGCCGCCCCACCCGCCGGCCCCCCTCGCCCGCCTGGCCCGGCGCCTGGGACGCCGGGGTGGGGGGAACTTTCCGCCTCTTGAGTGTCCCCGGGGGCAAGTGGGACCGGAGCCGATCTAGCCGGGCAGCCGGAGCCAACGCTGGGCTGGCTGGTTCCTCCCCAGGCTCAGAAGCCCGAGCTTCAGCCCGAACGGCCAGCCGATCCTGTTTTGATTTTGTTTTGATTTGCTGTGTGCTCCCCCCGTCCCCCTCCTCAGCCCCCTGGCCACTCGATGCTTTTGTGTGAACCAGCAGCCGCGCAGGTGGCATGCCTGCTTCCCCCTCAAGTGCTGTGAACGCGAGAGGAAGAAACTTTTTCTGAATGGCCTTGGAACGAAGATGTCTGGGGGCCCATAAGAAGGGGTGTTGCTTCCTAAGGCAGAGGTGCTCTCGGCTGCTTGTTTGCACGCACATCTGATTATATTATTGCTTTGAGCAGCGGAAGGGAATATTTCCCCGGGAAATGGAAAGAATGGATCCAGCCAGCAAGGGCAGAAACATACTTGCAAGCCCACGTTAAGTTCAGTGCTTTGCGAGTTAAGCTCCAGCTTTTGTTGTTTCCCCAGAGGTTGGAAGAATGAAGTAAACAAGAAGGTATTTTTTCCCTGAGAATCTGTGGCTCTACAAGAAAAAGCAGACTTCTGCTCAAAAGTAATCTGCAATGGTGAAAGCAAAGCTATTTTTAAGCCAACATGGTAAAATAGGATACTTTTGCAATCAGTGCAGCATGCTTGGTAGGTCAGAATTTGAGTCCAGCTGTAAAAGCTAACAATTCATAAAATCAAAGGGATGAAAGGAGCAAAAGATAAAATAATTCCGTCTTAAGATATTTGCCATTTAAATATGGTAAGATAGACAAAACACATTGCTACTCTTTTATATTAGATGCTGATGTGTTTGAACATTAAAAGTTTACACACACACACACACACACACACACACACACACACAACGTTGGTAGGTACATAACCATTCTGTTGATTCCTTAAGTTTAAGACATATTGCTTTGGAAGATGGTATTTGATTTGCCACAGGCACTTGAAGGTGTTTCTTTGGCCTATGCACAGGAATGGAGGAAAGATTTATCTACCTCTATGTGACTTACCTATACTACTTCTTCAAACACTTATTAGTTGTGTCTTTTTAATATATATATTAAATTATATATATATATATATATATATATATATATATATATATATATATATATATATATTGATTTCAGAGAGGAAGGGAGAAGGAGAGAGAGACAGAAACATCAGTGGTAAGAGAATCATTGATAGCTGCCTCCTGCATACCCCATGCTAGGGATTGAGCCTGCTACCCGGCATATGCCCTGACTGGAAATCTAACTGTGACCTTTTGGCTTAATTGTATCTTTTAACCACGCCCCTTCCTCCTAACTAAATTCAGGGAATTGTGGACCAATTTATACTATTGGGTGATTCAAGACAGTGTCCACCTACAGTGCTTTTACAGGAAAAATGTCGCATTGCAATCAATTCATTTTCTTAATGTGTAATCACGCTATATTAAATCATAATCAAATGCTAGCATATTTTGTAAGCTATGTGTGTACTCAGTATGTAGTTTTAAAATGTTCAGTTCTGAAAATGAGCTCCTTGATTACAATAGACACTCACATGCTGAAGTTCTCCATGGGCAAGACTATTTGAACACACATTTGGCCTAAGTAATAGCTTGGAAATGCTATATTACCATTGTTACAAGATTGAAGGGCCCTATTAATATAATTTTATGACAATTCTTGAAAAAGCATGTCCTGGGTAAATTTTACTTCATACCTATTGCACATTGCAATGGATATGCTGCATTTTACAATGAAGATAGTATTTTGAAGTTTAACATAGTTTAATGTATGCTGGAAAGGACCTGTAAACTTCAGTAAATGGAGATTAGTTAGATCAATTATACTTAATAAGTATGTACGTTATATGAGAAAGAATGCTTATCACCTATTTATAAGCTAAAGAACTTTAAAGTTTAAGTAAACTATTTTTACCAATGTTGATGACTAAATTATTGCTGTTTGACTCAAATGACATTTATTGTAAGTGATGCTACTGGTTTCATTTTTAAGACAGTTTTAATGTTCTTTGTTGTCTTCAATATCAATACATATAGTTACTATGGAGATAACTGTAATCGAATCGTTACTAATAAATTACCTTATTCATTATTATGTTGCAAATGAATATAGCTCATTACATTGCTGAAACCAGCATTTCTTTTCCCAGACAAACAAAAAGTTCCTGTTTTTCTTTTAGTGTTGCTTTTTCAATATACGATTCACTTATTAAGAGTGTGTGTGTGTATACTTAGTGGATTTTTTAATGAAATAAATTCTTATTAAAAGGGCGTTTTCTTATTGTAGGGAATCTTCTGTGTTTCTGGGAAGGTTTCTTGTATGATGGTATGACATGTTTTAGATTTGGTGTGGAAACATTACAAGAAAAAAAATCATCCATGCTTTGATATGTCAGTGGAATCTACTGCTGAAATTTGGTACTTTTGCCCTTATCTTCCTTATGAGTTTATCAGTAGGCAAGTGATATGGTCTTGACAAGATAAAGCATTAGGTTCATATAATTGATTTATAATAGATAATCCCCACTTTGTGGGATGTCTTATCATAGCTACTTAGGATACTGAGGTTTTTACATTACAAACTGATTTCCTCCTCAATTTAAAAAAAGTTGATATTGTGTTCTCAGTTTACCTGCTCAACCTGGTCTTTTTCCAGAAACAGTTCATATCCTCAGGTAGTACATAGTTAGTTCATTGTTTTTTGTGTTTTTTTTTATAAGTAGGGCTGGCAAGCTGACATCATTACAGTTGCCTTTAATTTTAGCCAAGATTTTCAAACAAATTTGTCTCCCACTTTTTGCAATTACAATTTCTATTTATAATTATTTTTAAAAACTGATTTCAGGACCCTCATGGATACCAAAATCTGTGGATACTCAAGTCCCCTCTATAAAATGGCATATTATTTGCATATGATCTATGCACATTATCCCTGTGAACTTCAAATCCTCTCTAGATTACTTCTTATGCAATGTAAATGCTGTGTTAATAGTTGTTATAGTATACTCTATTGTCTAGGGAATAATTACAAGGGGAAAAAAAGTCTGTACATGTTCAGTACAGATGCAACCATCCTAGGCCTAACTACTTTGTACAAGACAGCAACTGTAACTCCCTACCCCCCGCCCCACCCGATTATTTTTTAAATTTGATTGGTTGAATCCCCGGATGTAGAACCTGCAGATACTATGTGCCGAATGTACAGCAATTTGGTTTTTGAAGGATGGGCAGTGGCATTGCTCGTTGTATTAGTTGTACCCTGCTAGATCACAAACACCCCTAAATATAACGGCTTAAACAAACAGGCATTGTCTCACAGCCTCAGGAATCCCGGAGCAGCTTAGGGAGATGTTTCTGACTCAGGTCTCTCATAAAGTTGTAATCAAGCTTTCAGCTGAGGCTGCATCGTTGGACATCTTGACTGGGGTTTGGAGATCCATTCCTATGATAAAAAGGCTCATTCACTCAGCAGTAGGCTGAAGTCCCAATTCCCTGCCCGCGGGCCACCCCCAGGGCCACCTGAGTGTTCTCAAGGCGTGGCAGTTGGCTCCCTCCAGAACAAGTGATGACACAGTCTAAGTTGGAAGCCACAGTCTTTTATTATCCAGTCTTAGAAGAGAGAGTCCATCTCTTTTGGACCAGGGCACTGTACAGGGTGTAAAGCCGGGAGGTGGAAGTCATTGGGAGGCATCTAAGAGGCTGCCTTCCACACTTAAGGTGCTGTAATTAATGTTTGCTGGAGACTTACGTAGGGATGAGAGCTGGCTTTGGGGAAGGCACAGCAAAAGATTTGATTTGAAAAAATAAAAGGAGCCTCTTGGGGAATATTTTTGTTAAACATGTACGTAAGTACTTTAAAAATGAGATTCTTACAGGGGTCCTCAAACTTTTTAAAGTGGGGGCCAGATCACGGTCCCTCAGAGAGCTGGAGGGCCGGACTATATGAACTACTAATTCCTACTGTAACACCTCGGCTGCGCTCACTGCCCAAAAAACCTGGCGGGCCGGATCAGACTCCTCTGCGGGCCGCATGTGGCCCGCGGGCCGTAGTTTGAAGACGCCTGTGACATATCACAAGAGATATATTGCAGGGAACAGAGCAGTTTTTCTATCAATGTTAGATCTTTTTAAAAAAATATATTTTTTTATTGATTTCAGGGAGGAAGAGTGAGGGAGAGATAGAAATATCAGTGGTGAGAGAATCATTGATTGGCTGCCTCCTGCAGGCCCCACACTGGGGATGGAGCCCGCAACCTGGTCACGTGTCCTGACGGGAATCAAGCTCTGACCTCCTGGTTCTAAGGTCGACACTCAACCACTGCGCCAAGCGGGCTTTCAACGTTAAATCTTAATTAGCTTGCATTTTTTTTCATCATATTAAGTGGTAATTGTGTACATTTAGGTTTTCTTTTTACCATTTATCTGCATCCACATAGGCATACCATATAATTTTAAAGTATGCTTAATGTAGTTCCTCATCTTCTGTGATTACTTAAGAAGGTGAGGAGCTTCGTTTTGAGAACTTGCCAGATAGCAGAAGGGCCTTTGTCACATGAAAGGCTGCAAGATGAAAAGCTGATATTAAAGTGGATATCTAGAATACTTAAAAACAAGATTTTTCTTTTTTCTTTTTCTTTTTTATTTTATTATTTTTTTAAATGTTTTATTGATTTTTTTTTTGCCCCCCTCCCTCCGTCCCTCCCACACATCCCCTCCCTCCCCAGAGTTTTGTGTCCATTGGTTGTACT